TTTACGGCACAATTATGACTCACCGGGGTCCGGGAAAAAAATTTTTACGGCATAATTATAACTCACCGGGGTCCGGGAAAAAAATTTTGCGGCATAATGCGACTACAATAGTTACAGTCGAGCATAATTTGGAGCATAATAGTCCGTTTTGGGAGCAGTGCCAAAAAGCATAATGCTCGATTTTAGGAGCATAATGTGTCAACCCTTATTAGTCCGTCGTGCGTGACCCGCTGCGTGACGCGAAAGAAAAATGGCCGCGCGACTTTAGATTTCGCGCGGTAATTCGTTTTTCTCGCGGTTTATTTACGGTTACGCTTCGACGCACTATTAAAGCGAAGAGGGACTACCTGTAATCTAGATTAAACTATCAAATCAAATAAAGGGGAGCCGTTTCTTAAAGTAAACATTCGTAAACATTCGTAAACATCTCTTGAACTTCACCTCATTTTATTACACCTTTTATTCAATTTATCGCAAGCTGTATTTTTAAAAGAAGAATCCGGAGAGCCAGACGTCTACTGGTTTCCTTTCAAGCACCGCGAGGAACGATCTGTTTCTTCTCAGAATCGTACTTATATAAGGTGCCAGCGCCAACGTTCTATATCTTTGTAGTTGGATTGTCTCCACAATATTGCAATGTTCCGTGCCTCACCAACGTGTCGGCAATAGCGATGTTCGTTAAACACGAAGGCACAAATCCGTCATTATGCACGGCCTTTATCCCTGTTTTATGCGCAAGTATACCGATGTAGACATCATCTATTCTAAAATTTGGTACAACATCGAAAACCTCCACAAACATAGCCACCACATCGCGTGATAAAATGAAACCAAAACCCGAGCAGTAATCGGGATACCTCTCCTCACTGTATTCCTCTGTGTATATCTCCCATTTACCGTGTCTGGACGCGCAAGGTGATCTTATCATATTACCCATGTACACCTTCTCGGTCGGAGTAGTGCTCTCATTTAAGTAGAAAATGAGTTTTGGAAAGTTCACAAACACATCGTCGTCGGTTTTTAAAAGAAACGAGAAATTACAATATCTGGCTGCCCATTCGAAGCCCATTAAAAGCTTGAGTGTTTGATTCCAGTAGTGATCATAATAATCAGCTCGTATTAAATCTGCATGGACTTCGTCCTCTTTCAGTAATAACTGAGAATCATTTTGTATTTGCGTTTGTGCAACCAGAAACACTGTCTTCCATCGCGGTTTTAAAATATTGTTCTTATCAACAGCCCACGTGCGCCGAATATAATCTCTTCTTTCAACATTAGCAGGAGCAGACGAAACAAGAACAAGAAGAAAATAATAATCTCCGCAAGCTCTTGTTGTGATTAGAGTTGTTCTGTGTTGAAATGGTTCTTGCGACGATTCTTGGTTGAGATATGGAATCCTTGCTCCTAGTTGCTTTAATAAATCTGCAGGAAGATGATCCGATGTGTGATATATTGATTTTGAATTCCACGAGCCGCATCGATTCAAACGCCTGACAAACACACCGACAATTGCCAACGCCACGAACAGGAAAAAGAGGGTTTTCCGGATTTTTTTACCACGACACAGCCCATAACATATCTGCCACATCGGAAAATCGTTGTATTTCAAAATAATTATATCGATGCTAGACGGTACCTTCATTTGCATACGAATTTGGTATTGCAGAACTCAGAAGCTCCGACATTGCCGAAATATAAATTCACCATTCGACGTCATAGAAAAATAAACCGACCACATTTTTGCTTGACTATATTCTTTTCATGGACATAAAAATGACTCCAAGAAATTCCCGAAACTTTTTGCAGCAGATGAATGCATTATGAACGCCGCAATAACAATGCGTTGGAGTGTGGATAAACACGTGGTCTATTTGAAACGAAACAATAGTATTATCAAATGGTCGACCAATGAGCGGCGTAGCCTTGACCGCGCACGAAAAGCTTGTACATGTGACACACGGTCAAAACTTGTACTTCATCACGGCGGTGCAAAAAAGAACAAGACGCCTGTTGGGCGTACACTCCGGCCATTTTAGGGGTATGTAGGTTTCGCGTTTGAGATCGATGTTGGGGGGTTGATTTATGCCAAAATGATATGTATGTATGCTTTAGAATAAACAATGGGCTGTTGGGCATT